TTGTGATCTAAATAATGTCTAGTAACAATTTGAACCTGTCAGTACGGGCCGTTTTTCAGAAAAGTTGAAAAACATATTTCACCCTTAAAAATTTCAAAGACCGAAGGGGCGCAGGGGTGTGGTATATTTTTTTAATGTTCTTTGTGATCTAAATAATGTCTAGTAACAATTTGAACCTGTCAGTACGGGCCGTTTTTGAGAAAAGTTGAAAAACATATTTTACCCTTAAAATTTCAAAGACCGAATGGGCGCAGGGGTGTGGTATATTTTTTTTAATGTTCTTTGTGATCTAAATAATGTCTAGTAATAATTTGAACCTGTCATTACGGACAGTTTTTGAGAAATGTTAAGAAACAGTTTCACCTTCTAAAATTTCAATGACCGTAGATTTGTACCTACTAATAATAAGAAAATATTGAGAATTTTTATGTGATATCCTTAGGGAGCACCTAATAAGCCGATGTTACAAGAAATAAAGGTAAAATATACATATAAAAAAAAAACCGACGCCACTGAACCTTCGGATGTTTCCGGAAAATTTTCTGATAACTTTTGTCTGATAACTTCACATCAATCATTTTGTCTATATATGTTAGTCGAAACTGGATATAATAATGTAACACTGTTTAATATTAGACAAAATGTAGCACCATTTATGTTGATTATAATAATTTTAAACTATTTTAATGATATTTTATCGAATATCATAAAATATCAATAAAATGTGAAAATTCATTAGTCTTTAATTTGTTCTTGTTCAGCCATCTTGAAAAGGCTATAACTCGAAAACGGCTCGAACGATTTTTTTGTGGCAATGATAAAATTTGATCAGGAGGTCATGAACTATATCATACTAAAATTTTATTGGATTTGACCGGAACCACTTTTCCATAAGTTTTGTGCGTGGTCGTTAATTACAAACAATTTCTTAAATGTAAATCTTGATAATTATCATTATAAAGCAATTAATATTATAATCTATACCTTTTCAACTTCAAATTGGGACTAAACAACTTTAAGTTGGGAACTAACAAAATCATATTGAGAATTAATAATATCAAATTGGGAATAATCATATTCAATTTGGCACTAATCAACTTCAAATTGGGACTAATCAATTTTAATTTGGGAAGAAACAAATTCAAATTGGGAATAGGCTTATTCAATTTAGGAAATTATATTTGAGACTTTGACTTTGAGTTTGTTTTTCCTTCCGATTACATTCAAGTCCCTTAGAAAATCATGAACTATTTCTTCGAATTTGAGAAAAATATTTGTGCCAGCTCATATTCAACGCTTTATACCTGATGGCCGGATACGCTAAACATGGCTGATTAGTGATTTGCGAATGAAAACATTTCATCAAAATGAGATTATGTTCAAATTTTTCTTTTATTTCAGCGTAATTTCAGGATTTTCCTCTATGTATCCAGTCATTTATACCTTATGTTCTTCTAAAATGTTTGCTTTTCTTTGTCCCCCACGTTTCCTTCGAACAACTTCTTGGGTACCTACCCATCGATAAGCTGTAGATTTTTTTATACCCAGTGTGTTAGCCAATTTTCTTCAGTCGCCTTTGATATTAAAAACAGCACATATTTGCTTCTCAGCATTTTCTGCATTAGGTGTTTTAATTTAAGGCGTTTTGTTAATTCAATATACGGTTTAAACGCGTAGCTGCCGGTTGACTTGCAAAACTTTAAAATTTATTCAACAATTCCAATTTAAAGTTGATTAGTACCAAATTTAAATTGTTTATTTCCAATTTGACTTTGTTTATCGCCATTTTGAACGTGTTAGTTACCAATTAAAAGTTGATTAATCCCAATTTGAAATTGCTACGTTCCAAATTGAAATTGATTGTTCCCAATTTGAAGTTGAAAAGGTATAGTTTATGATTTTCTAAGGGACTTGAATGTAATCGGAAGGAAAAACAAACTCAAAGTCAAAGTCTCAAATATAATTTCCTAAATTGAATTAGCCTATTCCCAATTTGAATTTGTTTCTTCCCAAATTAAAATTGATTAGTCCCAATTTGAAGTTGATTAGTACCGAATTGAATATGATTATTCCCAATTTGATATTGTTAATTCTCAATATGATTTTGTTAGTTCCCAACTTAAATTTGTTTAGTCCCAATTTGAAGTTGAAAAGGTATAGTATTCCTAACAGGTATATGAAAATTTATTCTACTCAAAAGATCTCGTTAATCTATAATGTTGTTAATTAATTATCTTGAATAATATGCACAAGTCGTAGTATTTTCTACGATTTCCAAGCTTTTTTAAATTGAGTAATGAATACAGCTGGTCATAATCGACAGAGTCTGTAGGAATGCTTAACTTATACGCTATAAAACGAAGAAATTTCTTCTGTACACGTTCAAGTCTATTTTTATGTATTTCATAGAATGGGGACCATGTCGTAGGTACAGCGATACTCTAGAATTGATCTTACAATTGCAATATAAGCGTTTCTCAATGCATAAATGTTGGAAAAGTCTTTCAATGTTCTTATAATAAAACCAAGCAGTTTCATGGCTCTATTTGCTATAAATTCAACATGTTCCGCGAATGTAACTTCTCTATCTATGTATACACATGGAAAAAGTGATATTTTAGATATGCCTCTGTAATTTTTATAATTAGACCTATCTCAATCTTTAAAAATCGGCGTTATATGGCTAGGTTTCCAGCTGTCTGGAAAATAGCCCGCCAACACAGACCTGTTGAAAACTTTAGCGAAAACATGTGCCAGAATGAATTTACAGTTCTTAATAAAGACTACTGGAAGGCTATTAGGACCACAAGCTAACCCATTGTTCAAAGATTCTATTTTTTGTAATACATCTATGTCACTAATTTTAATAGAGGACAAATTTTGGTGACAGTTCCCTGGAAGGATGTCACTTATAGGTTGTTGTTTGGATATTCAGAGTATACAGCCGCGAAAAAGTCTTCAAAAAGTTCAACTGACTCTGACACAGAGCTACTTTCATTGCCATCTAAAAATATATTACTTGAATATGCATTGTGATCTTTTTTTGAATTAATGTAATGCCAGAAGTCCTTTTTATTTGTCATATTAAGTTCAATATTATGATTGTAGTTTTTGTAGCAAGTTTGAGAATAATTTCGACATCTAGTCCTTAGTTCTGAATTAATTAATTAATGTAATGCTGTAATAAACCAGTTTTTTAAAATTTTTTGTGAATTTTTTTCTTTTCAAGAATTAAAGTCTGCAGATTGTGGTCCATCCAGTTAGGAATTTTTTTATTTTTATGTCTACACAGTGGAGTGTGTAATTCTATTGCTTGTTGGAGATAATTGTAAAAGACATTAATGACCCCATCCAAATATGTATTGGCAAACCAAGTATCCCAGTCAACCGAGCCCAAAAAGTCGATAACACCCCTAAAGTTACACAGCTTAAAGTTAAAGTAATAATAATCAAATTCAATATTAGTTACCCTTTCAGGGCAATTAAGTGATACAATGATATCCAGTGCCGGGTGGGGAATATCAGCTCTTAGGATTGGGTCTAGGTTCACACTGACAATTACATCCACTCTATTACCAAAAATAAGGTCAAGAAAGTTTCCATGACAGTTTGGTATTGTATTAAGTTGGAAAAGATGATAAAAAGCCATACAGTCCGATAAAATATTTGTTTCCTCAGATCGTTTACCTGATGACCTTGCTCCAAATTGGTCATTTATTCATGTTACACCAGGTCAGTTGAAATCTCCACATAGATAAATATCAACATCTGTTTCCTGGTAGTACTTGTTGAGAATGCAGTTCACAGATCTAGAGTAGTTCTCATATTTTTCAATCGTTGATGTAGGTGAGATGTACGCATTTCCAATAATAACCTTCTTTCCCCGCTCATGTTATATTAGGATAACATTACAGTAGCTGCTTACACAAGCACTTTTCTTACCTAAGTTAAAGTTAGTTTCTTAGCTGAGCTAAGTTGTTTGATCGTACGCGCAATTCATATCTCTTTATTTTGTATATGTGATCTGTTCCATCGACTGGTATATTTAAACTTATTATTTCCTCGTCGTTAAATTTAAAACTTACTTTGAAAGTTTCATATGTCATTTTGTGCAATGGCAATAATGAATAATTAATTTCATTAAACTAAACACCTTTTCAAAGTTCCTGTTCTAATGACCAACTTTCAACAAAACAAAAATAAAGAAATATAACCTCAATTTAGAAATTATTAAACGTCAAAAGTTCAAAAAATGCGTACTTCGCACCAACTTAGGTCAGCTAAGTTATCTCAGTTAAAAATCCGGGTGTCTTAGCAGGGGGAGGGCAGATTCTTACTTAGTTGTGACAAATCGTACGCGCAACTTAGTTAGATTCTTCAAGTTAGGTAAGAAAAGTGCTTGATCGTAAGCAGCTAGTATCACGAAAACAAAGTTAACCTCTAGCCCAAAATGACTTTCCAGTTTCAATAAAATGAAATGAAAGATGAAACGCAAAATAGAGAAATGTCGGATGATTACGCCTCTCGAAAGAAAAGGATAGATATAAATTAAATAGTGCCGCGCATGCGTAGTGTTATCGCTACCACCATGCTTATCGTCCGTAAGATAGCGGACCGTGTCGGTATATATACGATATACGTTATATACGATATACGATATACGTTAAATGACCATAACTGTTAATTAGCGGCTACCGGTGATACTTTTTGAAGGTTTCGAAAACTGCCTATCGATATAATATAAAATGGCATAAGTAAAACAACTGAGTTCAAAATTGTTTTTTATTAGTTTAATTTAAATTTTAATTTACTAAAATAAATAATATTTTCTTATAAACTAAACCTAGAATTATAACAAGTATTGTTGGCACGCTGAACACTAATGAACTAAAAATATCATTGGGTAGAAAATATTGCACACGTTATTAGGAATTGAATTTTGAAACATAATTTTTTATATGAAAACTGTCTGAATACACTTAAACTGCTTCATATCTTACTTGTTTGGCATACCTCGTGTATCCATTATTTGAAGACCTCCTATAGAGGCGGGTGAGCTCAGTTTTTTGCATATCTTTTGCATATGGATGGCTTGGAATGGGCCAAAAAGAATGTCTATAATTGGTTTTGGGAATTCTGGAACTAAACTTAGCGCCGTAATTACTTTTGCTAGAAAATTGTCCTAAGCCAGGAGTTGTGTGTGGTCTTTTATTAGACTCGAATGTATTTGGAATCATGGGCTGTGTGATTATATTTTTATTTTTTGGTCTTATTGGTTTGAAACCGCTCTCGACAACCGGTTGGGTTATATCATTTGCCTTGGATGATGTATAATATGTTGCTAAATACTTATCAATTTCTTCCCTAGAGAACTGATGACTTGGATTGATCCCTTCATCTTTTTGGGAATTTTTGGGCTTACTTGCAGTTGACGTTGTTGTAGTTTGAAAATCTCGGCTATCCTCTCCATAAACTTCACCTTCTTTTATTTCAATTTCATCAGGATTTATTTGTTCAATATCAATGTTAGGTAAATCTTTCTCGGAAGACTTCCTATATTTTGATATGCTTATTTGACCCGGTGATTGAGGTACGATTTTAACGTCTTCATATTCTTCTTTAATACTGACCAATGGACTTCTGGACTTATACTCTGGTGCTTTTTGTGGTGACTTTCTATCTGGTATTTCCGCTGATTTAGTGTTTATGGAGCTTTGGTGACCGTCAGTATCATCATAAAAAAATTCATCGTCTTCCTCAGGTCCTAAAAAAAAATGGCATCAGTAATTGGTTTCTACAAAAACAAATAAACATTCAAAGGACCCTCCATTAACAATATGTAACTATTTTTTGAAACGCATCATTGTGGTATAATAGTGTTTGTTCTCAAATAATTTCAACCGGCGTACCGGTATCCGTGCAATGTCACAAGCAGAATTTGTGATTAAGAATCCCTCACCTATAAATCAGTCAGCTTCAAGGATTCTGGGAAAAGCAAACATATCTATACTACTAAAACCATAAAGCGCAATATAGTTTCAATAATAGCCCTCTATAATACGAGTATATGGACATCAAGGACTGAAATCAAACTCAACCACAGCAGTGGAAGGCACCCCTGATATCAAGGCATCCCTGACCCAGGCGAAATTAACTTACTACGAGTCAAAACTCACGAGCACTCTCGTCTCGTATTGATGGTCTCTCGTCGAGACGACAGACTCATTTTCTCTTGAATTTTCGAGACAAGACGAGAGAGAGCGTATTCTCGTCTCACTAACGGAAAGGGATTTCCTAAATATTTCTTAATGGTTTGAAATTGATAGACTTTCTGTAAACACCTCTAGGTTCGGATAGGTTTCTTGTGAGTGGTCCGATTTGTGCCTTCCACTGCGACCTGCGGTCTAGTGTGGCTAACTCCGAGTTTATATTTCCCCCATCAGTCCAGCTCTCGGTCCAGCTAGTGATGAGCAAATGCAAGAACAAGTTAGTCTTGGTCTTGCATATGCGGTCTTGATCTTGCAGTCTAATAAGTTGTGTTGGTTGTGGTATTGGTCTTGCAGGGTCCAGTCTTGGTCTTGCTCTTGGTCTTGCACCAAGACTTGCAAGTATGTGCATTTATTTGATAGATTTTCACTTGAGGAAATTTTTACAAAGAAAATTAAAAAAAAAAATAGTTTTTAAAGTAAAAAGGTGTAAAGAAAAGGACAGTATAGGTATTCCAGTACCAAAATTTCGGTTTTTCAATTCTAGGCAGTTACTGGGGGTCCATTACCACTGGGATTAAAAATAAACCAGAACTATTATTGCTCAATTAAAAAGTGCACGTCAGTTGCATGCATTTCTCAGCAAATGAATAATTTGTTAGCAATTTTACCTAATCGTGTGCCATGCGGTAAACTCTACTTTTCCTCACATATTTGCGTGCGGTAAGTAGTACTTTACCACTATGTGGAATACTATACGGAGAATACATAGTTCAAAGCAAAAATAATGCAAAACATAGTATTTTTTTATGGACAGAATTTTTTTTTGCTTTTAAACACCAATTCGATTTACGTTAAAAATTTAGATATGTTTGATGATTGTGTTTGGGAATTCTTCATATTCTCTAAAGTTATAGGATAAGGTAGGCCCCAATACCAGTAGGTAACAGAGATTATGATAATAGTTGGATAGATATGATATATTCAATTACAAATAACTAAATTAAATGCTAAATTTCACTACTCTTTAGAAAAAAAAAGGTACAAAAACGCAAGACCGCAAGACTCATGCATGCCTAGTCTTGGCCTTGCTTTTTCTGCAAGACCAAGACTGAGAACGCAAGACAGACCTTAAGACCAGTCTCGCGCATCACTTCCAGCCCTTCTATTGAAGTATGCGGGAAGCAAGCATGCTTTATATATTCGGATCGAACAGCTGACTCGTCGAAAACAGCGTGCCTGCTTCTAGCTATTGTCGGACACGCATATAGGACATGTTCCGCAGTACCGTCCTCTTCCGCATACAGGCGACACTCAGCACTTTGTGCTATTCCGATCCTGTGCATGTGATACCGGAATCTGCAGTGTACAGACCCACTAGGGCTTTGAGGCTCTTCTTCCCTATTCCCAGAGTATGTCTGCCACTTTCCATCCTTGCAATGTCACAAGCAGAATTTGTGATTAAGAATCCCTCACCTATAAATCAGTCAGCTTCAAGGATTCTGGGAAAAGCAAACATATCTATACTACTAAAACCATAAAGCGCAATATATTTTCAATAATTGCCCTCTATAATACGAGTATATGGACATCAAGGACTGAAATCAAACTCAACCACAGCAGTGGAAGGCACCCCTGATATCAAGGCATCCCTGACCCAGGCGAAATTAACTTACTACGAGTCAAAACTCACGAGCACTCTCGTCTCGTATTGATGGTCTCTCGTCGAGACGACAGACTCATTTTCTCTTGAATTTTCGAGACAAGACGAGAGAGAGCGTATTCTCGTCTCACTAACGGAAAGGGATTTCCTAAATATTTCTTAATGGTTTGAAATTGATAGACTTTCTGTAAACACCTCTAGGTTCGGATAGGTTTCTTGTGAGTGGTCCGATTTGTGCCTTCCACTGCGACCTGCGGTCTAGTGTGGCTAACTCCAAGTTTATATTTCCCCCATCAGTCCAGCTAGTGATGAGCAAATGCAAGAACAAGTTAAGGCCGAAACCCACTAGCAACACGCCATGCCATACTACGCCACCTCACGCCATGTGACACAGGTTCACGTGGGACAGTTTGTGTGCAAATGAACGGATGGCGTGGCGTGCCATGGCGTGGTATCTCATGTGGCAAGTGTGTACGCGGCACATATAAATAAATGGAAGAATATACCAATATAGCAACACGCCACGTCATGCTTCGCCACGCCACGCCATGTGACGAAAATGTAAGCGTATATTCTTCCATTTATTTATATGTGCTGCGTACATACTTGCCATACGCGATACCACGCCATGGCACGCCACGCCATCCGTCTATTTGCATACAAACTGTCTCACGTGAACCTGTGTCACATGGCGTGGGGTGGCGTGGCGTGTTGCTAGTGGGTTTCGGCCTTTAGTCTTGGTCTTGCATATGCGGTCTTAATCTTGCAGTCTAATAAGTTGTGTTGGTTGTGGTATTGGTCTTGCAGGGTCCAGTCTTGGTCTTGCTCTTGGTCTTGCACCAAGACTTGCAAGTATGTGCATTTATTTGATAGATTTTCACTTGAGGAAATTTTTACAAAGAAAATTTAAAAAAAAAATAGTTTTTAAAGTAAAAAGGTGTAAAGAAAAGGACAGTATAGGTATTCCAGTACCAAAATTTCGGTTTTTCAATTCTAGGCAGTTACTGGGGGTCCATTACCACTGGGATTAGAAATCAACCAGAACTATTATTGCTTAATTAAAAAGTGCACGTCAGTTGCATGCATTTCTCAGCAAATGAATAATTTGTTAGCAATTTTACCTAATCGTGTGCCATGCGGTAAACTCTACTTTTCCTCACATATTTGCGTGCGGTAAGTAGTACTTTACCACTATGTGGAATACTATACGGAGAATACATAGTTCAAAGCAAAAATAATGCAAAACATAGTATTTTTTTATGGACAGATTTTTTTTTTTGCTTTTAAACACCAATTCGATTTACGTTAAAAATTTAGATATGTTTGATGATTGTGTTTGGGAAGACAGACTTTAAGACCAGTCTCGCGCATCACTTCCAGCCCTTCTATTGAAGTATGCGGGAAGCAAGCATGCTTTATATATTCGGATCGAACAGCTGACTCCTCGAAAACAGCGTGCCTGCTTCTAGCTATTGTCGGACACGTACATAGGACATGTTCCGCAGTACCGTCCTCTTCCGCATACAGGCGACACTCAGCACTTTGTGCTATTCCGATCCTGTGCATGTGAGACCGGAGTCTGCAGTGTACAGACCCACTAGGGCTTTGAGGCTCTTCTTCCCTATTCCCAGAGTATGTCTGCCACTTTCCATCCTTTGGGCAGGGTACTAAGGGTTTTGTATGGTTCATGCCTCGTATCCTCGACCAGTATTGTTTCGGCAAGTTTGACCTCTGAAATGAATTGGCCTAGGTCGAGATTGTGTGGTGGGCCGTATTTAGGACTGTTCTCAGTACTGGCTCCGGTCCAATGAAGTTTAACACAAGGATCCAGCTTTTGCAAATTGCTTCGCTTTTTCGTTGCTTTCTTGTTCGGTATATCCCGGTATCCAGACTAGTGAGGGATGGTAGTTTGCCCCTAGGTAGGTCAGGGCTTGTTTGCAGTTGTAGTCAGGGCTTTCAACGCAGCCTGGCTACACCTCTAAAACCAGGTATGTAACTCTGTAAATTGCTACCGGCTCGGCTTACCGAAACATGGACGTTCTCAATATTGATGATAATATTATTATTCAGGAACGTTGGATCAGAAGTTTAAGTAGAAACTCCATATCAATCAACTGGCAGGGAAAGTCCGAAGCTTGATATCTAAAGTCAAACGCCTTCAATATTTCCTTGAACTCCATTTTCATTCACTTTTACGTTTATGTCCGTATTCTTCTTTGATCCACCTGACATGTCTAGCAGGTTCTTGTCCTTTGCCCTCATACATAATTTCATTAAAGGCCTATTTCGTCTTTACTTGGAGGATCAGCATTTTTGTTCTTTCAGTTGTTTAGTGCTGTGAATTTGACCGTATTTCTAGCAAAGATATTATTCTGATGTTAATGATCACTTCTCTTCTGGTATCTTTTTATTGTGCTTGCCTTTACGAGAATCAGTTGGTTCATTTTTTTTTTCTAGTTCATTCGTTAGATATCCGTTTCGGTCTTGATATTATAAGATAAACGAGGAAAAATAACGAGATGCGGATTGTTCTGGGACAATAAGATTTTTTTAAAGTTTTGGTTTCACAGACATGCGATTTTCTGAAATAAAATTACTGCTCTATTTTCAATGAAACACTCTGTATATTTCGTCATCGTCAGAAAGCCTGATTTTTCTGATTTACAATAATTTTTTTCAATCATCTTGACATCAATCACATCGTAAAAAATTAACTTTGTTAAAGAGGTGCTCCATCAACTGGCCAAAAAAAAAAGAAAAATACTTCAAGCAATAAGAATGACTCCAAACTTTTAAGATTTATTGAGTACAAAATATCTATTGAATACTCTCTGGAAGCTTCTAAAAAATACTTCAAGCAATCAGAGGGACTTCAAACATTCAGGATTTATTCAGTAGCTTTTTTTTTTATCAAACAGAACATACTGCGAATGGATCTCAGTGTCAAGCTCAGAAATGGAATGATGATTTTTTTCTATGCAAAAAAATCGATGGGTAATCTATTTGTATTTGATACTTTTATTAACTAATTAAAACCTTCACAACAAAAAGGAATTTATTTTCTACTTTACTATTATAGATCCATAATACCTAGGAAACGAAATACGTTAACACACCTATAACAACCTGATCCATAACGCCCGCTTTTGCGGGCGTTATGATCTATAACGCCCGCTTATAATACCTTAAGGTGTTTTTGTTGTTGTTGTTCTATTAATTTGCACTTTACCCTAGGCAGCCACTAAATGTCTGACCGAAAATAATTTTCGGTCTAGCCAGGATTCGAACCCGGTCTACCATCAATGTTTCCCATGTAGTCCAGCGCGTTAACCCACAGGACCACCACCGTTGCCTTGCCTTATGAGATGTTTATAGATATATTAATTTATTTCGTTTCTATGTACAGGTCGCAGGTACAGGTACAGGTCACAGGTACAGGTACATGTCAAAATACAAAACAATATTTTGTCACACAAGTTTAACTGATTTTGTTAATAACAAATTGATGAAAAAACATTGTGTTGAGTAGAAAATAAAGTATTGTATGCACCACGGGGATTTCAAGATTATAATGCCCTTCAGGCGAAATATATCCCTCGGGCCATAGGCCCTCGGGCTAGTTTCGCCTTCGGGCATTATAATCTACATAATCCCCTTGGTACATAAATAGCTATAATGTCCGACTGGTATACCATTCGAGAAATAATGACATTATGTCAAAGTCAGTTAAATACGAAATAATTCCCTACGAAATAATGCCCTAGAGCGTTATGACTATTTTTTGCAGGTGCTTGATTTGTTTTAGATTAATTTATTCAAAATTCATTCAAAATTTTCTCATATAAAAAATAATTGAGTCGGACATTAAACGTTGAAGGCACCACGGGTATTAAGGATATTAACGCTTTCGGTCAACGTATATATCCTTGGGAAAAAAAATTATACATTTTTGTAAAGTAGAAACATGAGGCTTTCTGACGTTATGTTTAATTCATTTTCATGATACTGTACTGTTATCTTAACATAACATGAGCGAAACTGTAATCGAAAAGTCTGGTAAAACCAAATTTCATCAAATTTTAGAATTCGGCAATAAGTAGGTACTGTGAAAAAAAAACTTAAAAAAATTGTAACGAGCCAAAATTGCCTAACTAATTCATACTTATTTCTGTTTTCCATTCAAGATTTCTTCAATTTTGTTTACCTTTTCTCTATAAAAATTCAACAACAATTACAGTAATTGCAGATCCTGCAAATTTTCTAATTTCCAATTCTTAAATTCTATTTTCATTTGTTACTAGTTCTTGTGATGGCTTATGATTTTCCTCGATTTCAATCAATATTTTTATTCAATTTCAAAATCAATCTCCATGAAAATAAACATGTACACAAATATTCATTTGTCAAAAATATTTCCGGGGTAATGTCCAAATCCTGATCCGTTTTCAAAGTGCCTGTACCAAACTACTCTGTTCGGCTACTGAACTCAGTGCCAGTTTTAGTTCTGCACCCGGTTCAATCATTGGTTCCATACACCACAGGATTGATATCCTTGCCCTCTATTTTATAATGACACTTGACGCTTAAGGTATGTCACTCTTGATTTGCATCTCAGCTGACTTTTGAAGTGTCATTAATTTTTGTCGATTGGCTTTCGATTAGTAATGTTTTTAGGATCGTCGATTCCTGTTAAGCACCTAAGTTTTACAACCCGGATCGCTGACTCCATGTCCTATTCTTCAAATTATGATTGTTCTAATGGATAATTCCTTGTTGTTATTATCATTAGTCGTCAGCAGCTGTTGTCATTTTTCTCTGATTATATTGTTGTGTGCAATTTTTGGTAAGTAAGAATTCTATCCATTAATTTTTGACGTATTTCGTTATTCTGAATCATCTCTGAATTCCTACCTTTAGGTCAGCTAATTAATTTTATGTATAGCACATTTCTTTTCACATCTGGACATTAGAGAAATACGGTCTTTTTTGAAGAATTAAATTTTGTCTGCGCCCTTGTGGGATTTCGACCTTATATTCTCGATTATTGAATTTATAACACATTTAGTGGCCTTGCGTTTTCGTAGAGTGTTATAATTTCCGCCGATTAATTCGGATTTTTACAGCATCCATGTGGTAAGTTTTGCTGTGCACGTTTTTTTCCTACAGTGGATTCTGACTTTTTCTATTCCATAATTAGTGAAAAGCTGCCCTAAAGAGTAGAGTAAAGACCATTTCACTCACTCCAGAATTTCGAATCCAGACCTCGATCCAGATTTCCAGAGCATTTTCGGGCAAACAAAACCCTATTTCCAACAGGTAAAACATAACCTTATTAACCTAAAATTTTCTTTGCAAACTCGAGGCACATTTTCTTTACTTACTATTAAAGCTTTATCTCATTTCATCTAGTTTAATTAATTATTATCAAAAATACATTATTATTCAATTTTTCTATTAAAATAATTTTCGAGAGTTACAGTTTTATTAAGTAAATTTGCTATTAAAGACTGATTAAGTTACATTATAATTTAATTTTCTAATTCCGTCTATTCATAAGTGCTTCGCTACAGCTATGGTTCAATTGCAAATACAGTATGTTATAACAGTTTTTCTCTTAGGGTTTTTTTCACCGAGGTTTTTAATAACGGTTACATTGACACACGTACAATTGTAACTGAGATTGTAACTAAGGCTATCACACCCCAGCCTAAGCCTTCTAGTTGGACGGTTATACAAGCCTTCCGTAAGATTGGTTTGACCATCTAACCACAACCAGTAGTCAGGACTAATCTAGTTGATTGTATCTACTGCTACCATCTGGAACATTTTGGTATCGTACTAGCTTCAATTATCCTATCTATATTTTATTGTATATTTAAATTCTGTCCCTATTTTGTGCGCCAAAGTGATCACTAAGGTATTTCAGGGAGTAATTCAGTGCTTATACCAATGTGGCAAATGAATTATTAATATAGGTAATTTAGCTAGACATAACCTGATTCAGGTGGTTGTTTATTTATGTCAACTTACTTTTAGTTCTGGTAACATCAATGTAAGGTAACCGTTCCGACAACTAATTCTTTATTTATTGTTTTTCCTATTTCTTTTTATTTTATATTTTACACCTTTACATTTTTTTTTATTATTCAGTTGGTTATTGAGTTACAATAACATTTTAGATTTTTACATTTGATTCAATTGTTTATGACTATAGCTATTATTTCAATAATAGCCATACTGTATTTGTTGATTGACTCTTCATCAAAAGGTCACTTCATTTATTAATTAATGACAGTTCAAGTGATTGTTCTTTTTCTTGAATAGTTTTTCACTCTTTGGTAATATTGCTAATTTACATGATTATTATTTTTTTGTTACTAATATCTCAATACTGGTTCATTGTGGACTGTAGCCACATTTGGTAAATAAACTGACTGTAGCACTTGACTCACTGACTTTTATTTGGTTCAGCCTAGTTTTAGCTTTTCTTGAATTTTGTTTAATTTTATTATTATTTGAATTGTAAGGACCTGGAGCCAGATAACATCCTGGAGAGTCCGACTCATCTGTCCAGAGTCGGTGGCGCCCAAAACTAAAAGCCACCCCCTACTCTCCGAATTATTTAATTCTGAGCTACGGCATAATTGGCATGCACTTAAACCTTCAGTCCTGCAATCTCAAGTATCTTCAATTTCATTTTATTTTTATTTTTATTTTTATTGTATTTTTATTTTTTTTTTCCTTTCTAATCTTTTTAATCACCGAAAAAGCGTGGCAAAATCCTTATTTTCCCAGAACAAACCCCATCTTGTGTTTTCTCGATTAGAGACATTTATTTTCCAAATGTGTCAGTTATTTATCTAAGGATACCTTGTATTTCAGATGTAGGTAGTTCATTTTCCATGTACTTCGTTTTTTCACTTAGTTCTGGTTTTCGAGTTTTCTTCAGCTGAGGCAATTTTTTTTCTTAATTTTATAATGTTCGCTTGAATCCTCTCCTATCATGGCGGTTCGCTTCCAATATTTCTTTTGTCTTGTACTTGCCTCAGATATGGTATCAGCTCAGTTTTAGCTGAAGCATAGATAATATTGTTGATTGCTACGATATCCGTGTTGTCTTCAGACTTCAGATGAAGTTTCCAGTATTGTTCTCAAAGCTGAGTTTACCATGGAAATTAGTTGTTTTGCAGTTGAAGTTTCATTGATTTTATCCAATAGTGTTCTTGTTTCATGTCAACGCTGCTCTCTTCATTCTTATTAGCTTGCTGCAGTTTAGATTTTAAATATTTCTCGTCTAGCTTCTTCAGCACATATATTTTAGCAGTCAAGGTTTAGATCACTGTTCTAGTAGTTCTAGTAGCCCAAAGTGTCCATGCTCGGGGTTCCCAGTCAGTGAGACATGAGCTTTCGTATATTTTTTGGCTTAAAGTCAATGAGGTTTTACTTGTCTTTTAGATGGAGTTATTGAATGTATTATTTTCTACGATTGAAAAGTGTTAATTTTTAAACCTCACATAACAGTGATTTTTGTGATCATTTTGACAAGGCATAAGTGCAACTTTAATGACATAGCTTGAGCGGCATATAAATGTTACACTCCTGCGGAGTATAACCCCGTCATATTTTCTCATAGCAGTTTAAGGTAGTTCACCTGCACATACAGGTTATGCTTATAATAAAGGTGATCTTTCTAATACGGTACTTGCATGAAAAATTAGATTGATTATTGTTTATTGCAAACTGTAGGAAATTGAAAAAAAAATCGATACATATTTTTTTATTTTGCCCAAATATGATTATTCCGGAAGCAATATACAAATATTAGGTTTTCTATATATAGATATACTGAGCATGTGCTACGTCACTAAGTTATATGATAAGTGACGTCATAGGCATATTTCATAGCGTTGTATCTCCGTCAATTTTTGACTAATAAGAAAAAGAAAAACCACATGTTGACTTATTTTTTATCGACTAACGAAATCAGCGATAAAAAAACTTCATGCAAGTACCCCATTTTGAATATCATAATTTAAATTAAAAATTGTGTACTATTTGGAATAAGGATCGTTTGAAAATAAAATATTGTTTTTTATTCGGAGTAACTTTAATGCCGGTTTTCCACTAAACGGACTGTTGAGTTTGTGTTTTAAAACATGTTTTAAGACAAAAACAAAACTGAAATAAACACAAAACTCTTGTTACCATTAAGCGGACTACATTTTGTTTTCTTGGGGAAACAAAAACTCCAACTGTCTCAAAACATGCTAGTCTTGAAAATGTTTGGGAAAAGTTTGATTTATTTTGTCTGTTTGGTGGAAAACCAGCATAAGAAATCTTCGAGGAAATCTTCATGTGACTTGCATGGATTTGATTTGCCTCGAGCCGACGAGTTTTTCGAAATTTGCCAGCCAGTAGAAGTAGATACCTACTGAAGAGAATGGTAGTTATTTACGACACCATATTCATTTGAGAAGTGAGAAGAGTATTTGACTTGGATAGTAAAGCGATCAGTGATCAGTGATATAATTTTGCGAAATGTTAAGTTCATTTTCGTGATACTGTACCAGGTGTCCCACTAAGGTCGGCCAGGTACGATATTATGGAAACCATATACCTTACGGCTTCGGGATTTTTTTTTCTTCACTAAATCGGCCAAGAGAAATTGATGGAAATTATTTTCAAGTTTCTAGGATGACCGCTAGGGGGCGCAATTACGATGATATAGCTAAAAATTCAACTTTTCTCAAGAAATCGCTATATTAAGATACAGTTTCAACAACATAAATCAAAAGTTCATTAATTTTTGCGCCAGTTTGGTTATTAGGCTTTTTTTCGTATCTTCAGTAATAAGGGTGGGGGAAGCTGGTGAAAATTTTTTTTTAGAAATTGCTGTATCTTCCATACCCTCCATCAAACTCATTCAATTTGGGTTTATTTGGAAAAGAATTTCATTGTTATTAAGAACACCACTTCGTTCGAGGTCGATAGTTCCCACCGCGTCTGCTAGAGGGCGCTGTTTATTCAAGATCCAGTTTTTCCTAATTTTCATGAAAAATCCAAATGGCATAATATTATTTCTGTATTGCTGTGCTTACAGAGCAAAAAAATATCTACATTTTGGCGCAAACCGCAATTCAATATCTGCATTCGTTTTCAAGTTACGTGAGGTCTATGGTCTCCATAATATCGTACCTGGCCGACTTTAGTGGGACACCCTGTACCTACTGTTATCTTAACATAACATGAGCGAAACTGAAATCGAAAAGGTATATTTAACCGAACGCCGGCCGTTATTTATTCGCCCACCGGTTAAATATAAATAACAGGCCACCAGCCATTAATTTAACGGCTGCTGGCCGTTAAAATAACGGCCGCTGGCTAGGAGAGTGCTTTTTTTTTGTCAGATTGAAAAATACAGGGTGAGTTACTAAGTGCGCGGTGGTCCATATCTCGTATACTAACGGAGATCGAAGAAAAAGCTAAATACAAAACTTGTAGATAAACATGAGTACTACATTACTAAATTATTTTCCAGTATACAGGGTGGCCCAATAACTAGTAGTGACACAAAATTATGTTTTTTTAAATTACTCATCCTGTATATTATGACATTTATGGATTCTGCCAAAAATTCTAGACATATTTCATGTACAATGTCATATACCTATCTTCAACTGTTTCGGAAATATGGACAGTTGAAAATTGACTTTTTTGCATCTTTGACAGACTGTAAAATCTGAACGGTTAATTTTACAAGAAAACGGATTTTACATTCCTGTCTTAGTTTTTCATAAACTATCATTTGACCCCAACCTTGAATTTAATCCATGATTAAAAATTCCACCTAAATTATTAATCTTTGGTTAAATTCAAAGTTGGTGTCAAATCATAGCGTATGAAAATCTAAGATAGGAATGTAAAATCCGTTTTCTTCTAAAATTAACCGTTTAGGTTTCACAGTCTCTCAAAGATGCAAAAAAGTCAATTTTTCCGAAACAGTTGAAGATAGGTATATGACATTGTACATGAAATACATGTATGTCTAGAATTTTTCGCTGAATCCAGAAATGTCATAGTATACAGAGGGAGTCATTTAAAAAAAAATACATAACTTTGTGTCACTATACTAGTTATTGGGCCACCCTGTATACTGGAAAAAAATTAGTAGTACCTACTCATGTTTATCTACAAGTTTTGTATTTAGTTTTTTCTTCGATCTCCGTTAGTATAGGAGATATGAACGACCGCTAGCTTAGTAACTCACCCTGTATTTGCAGTATAACGAAAAATTTAGAACGAAACACGGCCGATAACTGCAAATACCAGCCTTGAAAAAATAGTCTCACATACCAAACGAACCCGCTTAAGTGAATATACTAACCTTTTTTAAGGGTGTGGCTGTACTGCTCATACTGTTCTATGGGCAATTCTTCAGCCTCCAAATACGCTTGTCCATGTTTAACTTCAACATTATTATGGCTTAGAGCTACATTGGCTTTTGTTGTGATATGATGCAACGGTCCACTTTTTTTGACTATAGCACTGAAACCATTCTTTTCGTCCGCAGTGTATTCGACCGTTCTTATGGATCCGTCAGGTTCCACAAGTGAATATTGACCCTTTATAGAATTTCCTTCTTTCTTCTCCCATTGATGTTTGACGTCACCTGTGTGGATATCTTTGACTCCGTAACTGAAACTGTAGTCTGTTGGTGTCTAAAAAAATCATTTTTTAGTAATCTCTTCAAATAATGTTAGTAAAGTAGCTAAGTAAAAAATGACCTGTTTCATACATAAAGAATTAAGGCCGCAACAACAATGAGAATGCAGTGCTCTGATTTGTTGATTTTTCGAAACTTATTTTAAGGTCTTAAAAAAAACGGTATATCAGAATTGGCTCAAATTTGGCATAAATATTATTTGATCCATTATCTACAATTCCTTATTTTGGTTTTTCGATATTCAGCCTTTTTTTTTTTAAATTCAAAAATCGTGTTCGCAACCACCAAAACAACTAAATGTGTTGGTAGTTGCATATTTGCATGTTTATCAAGCTTGGATCCGTGAAAAACATATTTTATTGATAACCACGAAAAACTAAAAAAAGCTAATTGTAGAGATTGTAGATAATATATCAAATAATGTTTATGCCAAAGGATTTTGGAAATTATTGCGGTTTTTTGAGATGATCCTAAAACGAATATTGAAAGTGAAAACAGTTCAAGCAATTTCAAGTAGATGGCGCCACGGCAAAAAAGCTACATTGGGAGCATCATAATTGTATATTTGTCTTTCTCTTTCACTAAGGGTTTCACCGACAAACAGATTTTGTTTTGGACAAAAAATAAAATATTGAACCGTATGTTTAGAGTGACGCAGTCGTCATTTTCAAGAACTAAATTTAAACATGGCGACCATTAACGCGGCTTTAACATATAAGACGTAGCAACTACTTAAATAAAGTATGCAATTATGTTTGATTTTTACTATTATAGCACTGCAGCGGATACACGGTGGCCATATTGTACCTACAACAATAATACAAACGCCTGTTTCTTGAGCAGATAGGTAGAAACCGGGTCTATGCCAATTCGTCGTAAAACATCGCGACAGGGATGTTTGACCTAATTTACCCCAATACGACCTAGTCGACGTTACTTTACGACAAATCGACGTATACGACGAATTGAATTTACGACGAATTGACGTATACGACCAATTGACTTTACGAAGAATTTACGTACGACGAATTGACGCACGACAGATTGATTAACGACGAATTGACGGTGACCCGTAGAAACTAGCCTACGAGTCAAGGGTTCATTTTCCACAAATTTCTATTCTCGAAAACCACAGTTCGTATCTTTAACTGTTTTTGTGCGATTTTGAGCAATACATAAAGGCCACTTACTTATTACAAGTCGGTATTTTTATCTCCGGGGAAGAAACTTGAATGGATTTTGTAACATTTGAAATGTCACAAGAACATTTTTTAATTGTTCTTAATTAATTTCTTATATTTGAACTCATTTAAAAATTCTATTTCGTACACCTGGCGACATCTATGATTCCTTTGACTAGTTTCCTGACCTAATACCGAAAATTATATTATCAAAAGGTGGTTCCGATTTGCTCGCTCCAGTACTCGGAGTGACTCCATTCGCACTCTCGTCGAACCGAACAAAGGTTCTTCATAAGAAAAACCCGTAGCACTGTCATTTTTATAATTTCGACAAGCTTGACAGAGGAAGAAATACAGAACCATAGGGGTACTTAGGACTTTATTTTTATCTTGTGGTCGGACTGAAACCGGTCGTCCCGTAATGTCTTAAGTTTAAAAAAATCTTTAAGTTTTGCCTTTTATTCTTGGCCATCGAGCCCAAAATTATATAACTTTAACTAGCCAGAAGAGTGAGTAATCATGTCAGCTGGAACGTTTCCTGAAAAATCCACCGATTGTTGATTTTTGTGTAAATTTCTGAAAGTGAGGTTATTATCGGCCGTTAAGGCAAATTTGGGAGAGTCTTAAAAATCCATGCCTACACTTCTGGGTGAAAATTTGACCAATTTGAGACCATGCGGTACTGCATTTCCGAAGAAAGTCTGGGCCCTCTCCTACAAGGAAAGTTGTGTCCTGTCAGAGATTGATCCCCGACCATTGTTTGAGTGCCTCCAGCCAATTTGGTACTTCCAGATCTCAAATTTGTGAAAATTCCCAAGGATTCCGTCCAGGCTTGTATAATTATGGGTCCCGTAAATGTGCCTTATTAATTACCGTTACTCATTATCTCTCTTCTACTGCTCCCTATCAATTAGCTTTATTAGCTAATTAATACCGTTATAAATATTAATTACTGTTAATTATAATTACCTTTTTTTTTACCGCCCACTGTCGATTACCTATATTAGCTAATTATTATCTTTATAATATTAATTACTGTTAATTATTATTATTATTTTCTTATCGTTCACTATCGGTTAGCTTAATTAGCTAATTATTAACTATAAAATCATTTACCGACCTATTTACATTATTGTAGTATCTAGCTAAGATAGGTAACTACAGTTTAATGTAATTTTTATCGATTAATTATTAATCATTATCGTAATCAGATAACTACTATTATTATCGTTTCCAATATTTTTATCTAGTATCCAATAATTATGGATTACTATAATTATTCCAAATATATTTCTGGAATTCATTAACTTCTAGAGGTAAATCTAACCTTTGACTTCAAATCAATAAAGTGGTAATTCTGCAAGGTATTTTAATTACAGGTAAAAGGTAGAGCTCTCCCGGATACTTTTAATTATAGGTTCTGGCATTTATAACTCCCTGGGGATTACTTAATACCTTTATGCATTTATAAATTTGATTTTATTGATTTGGTTGATTTAAGTCAAAAATTGAAGATTAATGATATAGTGACTTCATCATTTATATTTAGGTAGATTTCTTCATAGGTATCGATTAATTGTTTTTGAATTTCAATCCTACTAAACTTATTTTAATTGAGTTTTGCTTTTAGAAAGCTACTTGATTATTTTTTTATTAAAAAAAAAAAACTTGGATACTAGACATTTTTTTGAACCATATAAAAAAAGTTCGCCATATTGTCACAAATTTTAATGATTTAATTAATAAATAATTATGTTTAGAATTCCAAAGCTTGTGTTTTTGTTGAATGAGTCGAATGTCAGATAGCTATTGGATTTTAGATTTCTTTTACCTTTTTAGATTTTTTTGAATTTATCTTTTTAAACATAAACAATAACTAAATAGTGCCTAGTTTCGCTACTCCTTACAAATCAAAATAATTCATACAAACTAGTGGCGCCCTCTCTCTACTGTACCAACACCAAGGACCACCCCAAGCTAAACTACCACTGAGCAATAGTCGAGCACAAATTGTGAACATTCTTTTGTTTCGACAAAAGAGCGTTACATAAATTGGCGCCTCAACTCAAGGGGCCTTTGAACAACGCTTAACTTAGCCTAAATTCTTGGACAGTTTAGAGTAAACTATGTTTAACTATCTTCAAAAATCTGACGTTGACCATTTCATAATAGACCTATCTCGCATGATTAGAAAAAGAGAGCTTAATTGTAATAAATACAAGTTAGAAAGAAATAAAAGATGACATGCGCGCACAACTCGTAGGCTGCAGTGTAGCCAGATTGTATTGTTGCAGAATAAATGTAGACAATATACAAATCGAATATTATAACATTAAAGAAGTGATATAGTGTCAAGTGTTTTACAATGCCTTGTATCAGACAAAAGAAGAGTTTGAAAGTGGATGAACATCGTTTGCACTTTTATTTTGATAAATGTTTCCTCCGGCAACATCGCTCAATGAAATTGCAAAGGAATATGTCAAGTATAATCTCAAACGAAACTGCGGTGAGTTCAAGTAATATGTAAAGAATTAGTTTGCTCTTTGTCAAATTACACGTTACAAAGAAAGAAGGAACGATTGATTCTGAACTGGTTCCTGAATAAGAATATGACGCAAGCCTGTCACAAACTTGCTTCTCATTGGACGCTCACCTGCCTACAAGCGACGCGCGCAGTCCAGGTAATAGGAGATAGGTCTATTACACAGTTTTTTTTTTTTTTTTTCAGCTTAAATTATTTTCTCTCTCTTTGAACATTTTCTTTAATAATTAACAGTATTACAGGAATAAATCTAAACTATTCAATTTCTACAATATCTTTTCCTACTTCTTCAATAGTTTACCGAACGGGATTCAATGGATACTTTCTTTCCGAGTTTCTTTCACTACATTTTGATTCTCGATATTTTTCCTGGAAATTTGATTTCGCATTTCTCTCGTCATTTCTTGAATAGTATCGAATTTTAATTTTCTTTTAAAATAACGATGGGTAGCGGACAGTATTTTCTAGCGATCCCGGCGAAGAAAAGATTGTTCAGGAACACAGCGCTCCTGCCTTCGCGAGCTCTTGATTTTTCTCATTTCCCACTCCGAGGAAAATCTTTTCCCTATACCTATAGTCCCATAAAATTACCCCATTTTCGTCCCTATTTCATAGTAAAGTTTTCTGTCTAATTTAACTTCAAAATCATTTTAATACCTCAGTGCCATAACATGTATATTTTTTGCTTTGCCTTATCAATTTACCTTTTGTTTTGATATTGTACATCAACCCTTACCGTTATCGATATGGACATTTTACCGTTTGTCATGCATTGGATTGCATTGACATAATATTTTACCGTTGTCTTATCGATTTATCTCTGATGTATATAATGTCAAAAGCTATCTTCATATTGATTATGACATTTAAATTTTCTGCTTTGTCTGATCAATAATTTACCTTTTGCTTGGATATTATACATCACCCTACCGTTGTCGATATGGACATTTTATCGTGTGTCATGCATTGGATTGCATAGGTATAAGAATTTACCGTTGTCGTATCGATTTATCTTTTCTATTGATGTATATGTCAAAAGTTATTTTCGTATTGATTGGGACATTTGAAAATTTTCTCTTTTGTCTAGCAAAGTTATCTTTTGTTTTGATAATAAAGTATAATACCTCATGAGTTACCTTACCGTTGTCGATTTGGACATTTTTCGTGTGTCATGCCTAGGATTGCCATGACATATATCTTACCGTTGTCTTATCGATTTTATTATCTTATTCATGATGTATTTATTGTCAGAAAGTTATCTTTGTATCTTGGTTGATATGGACATTTTCTCTTATACCATGTCACTGTCATCATTTCATCCCTTAGCTTTACTATGTTTCCTTACCTTTACCTTTATTATTTTCTGTTTTTCCTTTACCTTATCTTGGCTCTAATTCTGATTTCTCTCTGAATTGATATTATCTCTAAAAAATAATTTTTACCGTTTTGCTGATTTTACCGGATGGTAATTGTAATTATTTTTGTATCGTACCTTGTTGTGTTACAAAGGTACATAGTTTCTTACCGATTTGATTTGCTTTTTGCAAGTAATTATTACCGTTTCTTCCTGTTGCAATGAAGTGTCAGACTTCTGGCCCATTGTAATTTTTCATCTACCTTTCTATCCTTTTATTTTTTATTTTTTTATTTTTATTTTTCTTTTCTCCTATTTTTTTATATTAATTTTTTTGTTTATAATTTTTGGTTGGATTCATGTCGAGTTCTTCAGTAGACCCTACCTTACTTCTGACTTACAAATTTGAGCTTTTTCCCAATTGTGACCTACCAATTATGACTTCTTTCATAAAGACGGATGATACACGTTAGTTATCAGGCTAAAGAAATTCTTGATGAAAATTCACCATATAATTCTACAATTTATCTTTCCCTTTTATAATTTCCTTCTCTTTCTTGCTTTCGTTGTCGGTATTTGTATTCCTTGTAAAAAAAAATATACTTATATTTTTTTTCTTTTTTCGAAAGGCGGCAGTGTAACATTTGAAATGTCACAAGAACATTTTTTAATTGTTCTTAATTAATTTCTTATATTTGAACTCATTTAAAAATTCTATTTCGTACACCTGGCGACATCTATGATTCCTTTGACTAGTTTCCTGACCTAATACCGAAAATTATATTATCAAAAGGTGGTTCCGATTTGCTCGCTCCAGTACTCGGAGTGACTCCATTCGCACTCTCGTCGAACCGAACAAAGGTCCTTCATAAGAAAAACCCGTAGCACTGTCATTTTTATAATTTCGACAGGCTTGACAGTGACAGAGGAAGAAAGACAGAACCATAGGGGTACTTAGGACTTTATTTTTATCTTGTGGTCGGACTGAAACCGGTCGTCCCGTAATGTCTTAAGTTTAAAAAAATCTTTAAATTTTGCCTTTTATTCTTGGCCATCGAGCCCAAAATTATATAACTTTAACTAGCCAGAAGAGTGAGTAATCATGTCAGCTGGAAGGTTTCCTGAAAAATCCACCGATTGTTGATTTTTGTGTAAATTTCTGAAAGTGAGGTTATTATCGGCCGTTAAGGCAAATTTGGGAGAGTCTTAAAAATCCACGCCCACACTTCTGGGTGAAAATTTGAGCAATTTGAGACCATGCGGTACTGCATTTCCGAAGAAAGTCTGGGCCCTCTCCTACAAGGAAAGTTGTGTCCTGTAAGAGATTGATCCCCGACCATTGTTTGAGTGCCTCCAGCCAATTTGGTACTTCCAGATCTCAAATTTGTGAAAATTCCCAAGGATTCCGTCCAGGCTTGTATAATTATGGGTCCCGTAAATGTGCCTTATTAATTACCGTTACTCATTATCTCTCTTCTACTGCTCCCTATCAATTAGCTTTATTAGCTAATTAATACCGTTATAAATATTAATTACTGTTAATTATAATTACCTTTTTTTTTACCGCCCACTGTCGATTACCTATATTAGCTAATTATTATCTTTATAATATTAATTACTGTTAATTATTATTATTATTTTCTTATCGTTCACTATCGGTTAGCTTAATTAGCTAATTATTAACTATAAAATCATTTACCGACCTATTTACATTATTGTAGTATCTAGCTAAGATAGGTAACTACAGTTTAATGTAATTTTTATCGATTAATTATTAATCATTATCGTAATCAGATAACTACTATTATTATCGTTTCCAATATTTTTATCTAGTATCCAATAATTATGGATTACTATAATTATTCCAAATATATTTCTGGGATTCATTAACTTCTAGAGGTAAATCTAACCTTTGGCTTCAAACCAATAAAGTGGTAATTCTGCAAGGTATTTTAATCAATGCAAAATCTTTAGGTAGTTGGATTTGAGTTTCGTGGTTACATATTTTGAATTTTAATTACAGGTAAAAGGTAGAGCTCTCCCGGATACTTTTAATTATAGGTTCTGGCATTTATAACTCCCTGGGGATTACTTAACACCTTTATGCATTTATAAATTTGATTTTATTGATTTGGTTGATTTAAGTCAAAAATTGAAGATTAATGATATAGTGACTTCATCATTTATATTTAGGTAGATTTCTTCATAGGTAAGTATCCATTAATTGTTTTTGAATTTCAATCCTACTAAACTTATTTTAATTGAGTTTTGCTTTTAGAAAGCTACTTGATTATTTTTTTATTAAAAATAAAAAACTTGGATACTAGACATTTTTTTGAACCCTATAAAAAAAGTTCGCCATATCGTCACAAATTTTAATGATTTAATTAATAAATAATTATGTTTAGAATTCCAAAGCTTGTGTTTTTGTTCAATGAGTCGAATGTCAGATAGCTATTGGATTTTAGATTTCTTTTACCTTTTTCGATTTTTTTGAATTTATCTTTTTAAACATAAACAATAACTAATTAATGGAATAGTGCCTAGTTTCGCTACTCCTTACTAATCAAAATAATTTATACAAACTAGTGGCGCCCTCTCTCTACTGTACCAACACCAAGGACCACCCCAAGCTAAACTACCACTGAGCAATAGTCGAGCACAAATTGTGAACATTCTTTTGTTTCGACAAAAGAGCGTTACAATTTTTATGACGGCCATGCGCACATGCATCTCTCTTAGGGTTTTTTTTGCACTTGCAGCCAATAGCTCCGTAAAAAAATTGGATGAAAGAAGAAGAGTATTTTGTATAGAATTTGGTTACATTTATTTTATTTTCTTTTTTTTTTTTGAATTATGCAAGATTGTTCTAAGCATTGGGGCCCAATGCTTAGAAGCTCCCGGTATAGTATAACCTTATTAATTATTCAGTGGCGAGTTATATGGATATTCATCGGCGACTCCAGCAATACATAGATATACAGTCATGAGCACAAAAAGTGGGACACCCAACTGACAGGTCTTGTAATTTTTCGCTATTTTGCGTAAATCGGTCTTTTCTCTACAATCGATTTTTTGTCAAATATGACAATGTCTGTCATTGCCGTAGGTATAGCTGGTGAGCCCGTTTTACAATAGGAAAAAACGGTTGTCCCACTTTTTGTGCTCACGACTGTATGTAATTTGCAGAACGCATAGCGCACTCAGCAATAATGATAGGCGATGGCCCATTATGGCCTTACCGACACTAAGCATCCTATTATAATTTATAGGTATAGGATATAATATGTACCCAAGAAGAGATCTGACAAATCACTTTTAGTTCCCTTGACCAGCTACTTGTGCAAACAAATTTTTGTATAAGTCAAAATTAGATGACATCATTTCTTTATTATTTTCAGAACGCTCTACATAAAACTATGAAGTCTGATGTTTGTTTTTAAAGATAAAAGTCATAATGACATTATGTTGGCAATACAATGTAAAATTGTCAATGCTTCGGAATTTTTTATGTAGAAATGACTTGTGTTGCCAACATAGTTACTTAATTTTTGACTTGGGGAATTATCTTTAAAAAAAAACAGACTTAACAAAAATAATCAGCCCAATTCCGGACATATGAAGAAAAAAGATCATAGATAATTTGATCTTTTCTCTATGGTACTGATAACTGGGTCTAAAAGTGAATTTCAATGAGTGTTTCTATTGGGGTTTGAGACAAGAACCGTGAAAATTGAAAAAATTAAATTTTGACACATCAAAACAAAACGTGTAGGATGATATTAAATCATAGGTACTGTTATATATTCTTAATGTTACCTACCTTTTTGTTACCTTTATTATTTCACTTGATATTTTGTGATTGTCAGATTGTTGTCTTGTCTTGTCAATATATTGAAAAGTAATAAATTGTTATACATACTGCTGAACCTGATTGAGTGAGGATTATTCAAATTTTTCAATAAATATCACTTACATTCAAGAAAAAGTTTCGCATCAATCTCAATACTTTTCGGTATTTGGGATATTTTGAACAACCAATTCTATATATTATCCATTCAGAATCCGATGTCCACAGGTACAGGTAAAATTTATCACCTTTCAATGCCATTTGATAGGGAAAAGTGATAAATTTACCTGTACCGGTGGACATCGGATTGTGAATAGGATATATATTATATACTGTAGGCCAAATTTATTTTGAACCCAATTTGGCTCTGAATAACTTTTTTTTTTATTTTGTGGATTTTTGTGAAATTTTGTGTGAATATTAGGGGGGCCTTTCCCTAATTGCAGAAAAAATATCTAATCAAAATGTACAGGGGGAGCCAAGTAAGAAGCAATATTTTAATTCGTTGCCTTTGAGGCTGTTGCAAAATTTAATTTCTCACTCTAAAATACGTTTTTAATACAAAACTTCAAGTTTTTCGAAACATTTTTTTATAGCCTCTTTTCCGATAATTTCTTGATAAACTATAAATATTTTCAAATAATTTATGTAGTTTTAGAGTGGAAAATGTAATTTTGCAACAGCCCCAAAGGCCACGAATCAAATACTGCTTCTTACTTGGCTCCTCCTGTACATTTTGATTTGATATTTTTTCTGAAATTAAGGAAAGGCCTCCCTAATATTCACACAAAATTTCACAAAAATCTGCCAAATAAAAAAAAAAGTTATTTAGAGCCAAATTGGGTTCCAAATAAATTTGGCCCACAATGTAGGTGTAATTTTCTTTCCAAATTTTTTTTTTTAATTTTTAATGTTTTATGAATATGTGACCATATAAAATGAAATTCTATTGTTTTTTTTTTTTTTTGATTGATTGAGGTTAAAACTTTAAAACAGAAAGAACTATGCTATTGAACCGCCGCGGCGTAACAATATGGTCGTCGACCATTGGTCAAAGATTACCCAATGAGGAAGATCCCGTCGAAAATGCATTTTAAATTTACGTATATTTTGCTTCAGTTCAGTACTGCTAGATGTCTCTTTTTGTAAATAGGAGCTACAGTGGCTAAATAAACCTTTACATGCAGTGGCGACAATAGAGGTCCCGCCGCCATCTTGTTCCCAACCTCTTGTTACTTTTAAATATTGATATATAGGATTTAAATGAACATCTATCATAAAAAATTGAAATCGACGTATTTGATGACGCATTAGAGTCCCGGAAAATTGTTCGAAAATAATTGTTCGAACGGAAAATTGTTTGAAAGGAAAATTGTTCGAACGGAAAATTATTCAA